TTTAGAGTGTAATAGAACAGAACAGATAAATTACAAAGAACATAATAAATCTGCTGTCAAATTAGATTGTGTTAAGGTGATTAAATGTTTAGTATTAAACATGTAGTTGGATGCATTTTACAAAAACAGTTTTGCATGGTAAGAATCTCTGTATCGAAATGTCTCATGACTTCTTTATTGAAGCCAAGTTATTTAACTATGACTATATTTCGCAGGATGCACACAGTGTTGAATGCATTGCCAACAGTGATCTTTTTCTTGAATACTAATTTGATTGGGCTGCCAAAAGCAAGGTATTTTTAGAAAAAACATGTAAGGTTTATCAAAGCATATTACTTATCGTTTCACATACTACAAAACATAACAGTATGCCGTTTAAATGACAGTGTGCATTATACAGTGCTAGAATAATATTCTGAAAAAAGGTTGTTTTTTTTCTCACAGCAATGGCATAGTAGAACCATTTTTGGTTCCCCAAAGAACCTTTCAGTGAACAGTTCTTAAAGTGGTCATATGATGCGATTTCAATTTTCCCTTTCTTTTTGGAGTGTTACAAGCTCTTGGTGCATAAAGAAGATCTGTAAAGTTGCAAAGACTAAAGTCTCAAATCCAGAGATATTCTTTATAAAAGTTAAGAGTCAGCCACGCCTACCTAAAACGTCTCGTTCTAACACGCCCCCACATGTCTACGCCACGATGTGGGAAGATTTGCATAACGCCGCCCAAATGTTCACGCAAAGAAAGGTGGCGTAACTTTGATTTTCGCTGTAGTATTGTTGTTGCCGCCGCCATGTCCTGAAGATGTTGTGCGTTTCAATGTGAAAGCGAAACTACTTTATCCGCTTCGTCATGCCTAGAGCTGATCCGTGCTGGTTGCTGAGGAAATACATCAACTTCGCGCTGTGGATCGCCGGATCGGCTTTCACCGTGGACGAAGCGGAGTCCAGCCCGGGGTCGTCACATGTGGTTGCCGCAAGCCCGCCCTCCTCCGCTCACTCTAGCCCTCCGGCCAGGCCCGGACTGGCCATCGGGAGAATACTCAGTTGCCTGGCGGCTCATTTGGCCAGCTGCCCTGTTTTTATTTATTTTTTTATTATTATTATTAAGATTTTATATTTATGCCTTCTCAATGTACCAAAGTGATAATTTCAGATTTTTTCATTTGATAAATCGATAATCATAAATCGGTCTTGACTGGCAGCGCTCACAGTCTAATAATTCAATAGTGTATTAGACTTTTTCAACAAAAATATTGTAATTTTGACATTCAGGCACTTAAAGAAATTGTTTTAAAACACTACTAGTCAAAAGGTTTTGATCAGTAAGATTTTTTATGTTTTTAAAGAAGTCGCTTCTGCGCACCAAGCCTGCATTTATTTGATTCAAAATACAGCAAAAATAGTAAAGTGAAATATTTTTATAAAATGTAATTTATTTCTGTGATCAAATCTGAATTTTCAGCATCATTACTCCAGTCTTAAGTATCACATGATCCTTCAGAAATCATTCTAATATGCTGATTTGCTGCTCAAGAAACATTTATGTTGAAAACAGATTCGATTATTTTTCAGGTTTCTTTGATGAATAGAAAGTTCAGAAGAACAGCATTTATCTGAAATAGACGAAAGGTACAATTCTGGCCCTTTTTTCCCGTGTGGCCTGGATGAGTGTGAGATTTCCCGGCCTGAAATTGCATCCCAGTCCGGCCTTGCCTCCGGCCTCCGCTCACTCAAGGTCACTGTGTGTGATGCTGTGTTTCGTTGTGAAAGCGAAACTACTTTGTTTGGTCTTTCAAAAGCGGACACGACTAGAAATCAGTGGTTAAGTTGTATTTACAACACTGTTCCAGAACAGTTCAAACCAAATATTCAGATGTGTGCAGCACATTTTATGGAGGACTGTTTCCTGATCCTGGGAGAGTAGACTACAATGCCGGCTGTTCTGACTCACAGACTGTAAGTAGCTGTGGATCGCCGGATCGGCTTTCACCGTGGACGAAGCGGAGTCCAGCCCGGGGTCGTCACATGTGGTTGCCGCAAGCCCGCCCTCCTCCGCTCACTCTAGCCCTCCGGCCAGGCCCGGACTGGCCATCGGGAGCACAGGGAGAATACTCAGTTGCCTGGCGGCTCATTTGGCCAGCTGCCCTGTTTTTATTTATTTTTTTATTATTATTATTAAGATTTTATATTTATGCCTTCTCAATGTACCAAAGTGATAATTTCAGATTTTTTCATTTGATAAATCGATAATCATAAATCGGTCTTGACTGGCAGCGCTCACAGTCTAATAATTCAATAGTGTATTAGACTTTTTCAACAAAAATATTGTAATTTTGACATTCAGGCACTTAAAGAAATTGTTTTAAAACACTACTAGTCAAAAGGTTTTGATCAGTAAGATTTTTTATGTTTTTAAAGAAGTCGCTTCTGCGCACCAAGCCTGCATTTATTTGATTCAAAATACAGCAAAAATAGTAAAGTGAAATATTTTTATAAAATGTAATTTATTTCTGTGATCAAATCTGAATTTTCAGCATCATTACTCCAGTCTTAAGTATCACATGATCCTTCAGAAATCATTCTAATATGCTGATTTGCTGCTCAAGAAACATTTATGTTGAAAACAGATTCGATTATTTTTCAGGTTTCTTTGATGAATAGAAAGTTCAGAAGAACAGCATTTATCTGAAATAGACGAAAGGTACAATTCTGGCCCTTTTTTCCCGTGTGGCCTGGATGAGTGTGAGATTTCCCGGCCTGAAATTGCATCCCAGTCCGGCCTTGCCTCCGGCCTCCGCTCACTCAAGGTCACTGTGTGTGATGCTGTGTTTCGTTGTGAAAGCGAAACTACTTTGTTTGGTCTTTCAAAAGCGGACACGACTAGAAATCAGTGGTTAAGTTGTATTTACAACACTGTTCCAGAACAGTTCAAACCAAATATTCAGATGTGTGCAGGGGTTGTTCATATATCATTCGCCTGACTTTAGACATTTGTTTCATATTTTTACCATATTCACCTGTAGTGTCTTGCCTTAAGAATTTGCCGATTTAAGATTAATACAGTTTAAGAAGTTCTTTCCAATCATTGTTTTTGCCTAAAAATGTTTGCTTATTTTCTCGATCTTCTGGACAAAACCAGGACTAGCAAATAATATATTTGTGAACTAATCCTTCTTGTATGTCTGTACAATGTATCCGTCAAATCAGTCAGTATAAGTGCGTTTGTGAATCACTGAATCAGGCAGACAATTCACGGACTGAACACGTCAGCGTGGTTCAGGAGTTAACAATGAAACAATAACATACTTAAGAGCACAGAGATCAAAAACAGCACTGGATGATATGCAAAAATAACGACAGTTGAAACCAATCCTACAAATGCATTCCAACATTTGCCAATAACGAGGGTCTTCATTAGGTTCAATGCAAGCATGTTATTCGCTACTGATTGCGGTTTGAAAGTTCTACCCTTTTCAGAGGTGTTTTTGACCTTTTATACGTTCCATCTTGATTTCTTAATTTTCTTAAGACTCACACACAGATGTGTAAAAACGTTTCAGATGCACCTTTTCTTGTTCTGTTTCCTAACATACTTGTATACACAAATGACAGCTTTACATATTTCACATTACTAAAAAAAACAAGTATGAAGTAGCTTTAGCTTGTAGTGAAGCTAGAAATGTTTTTTTATAATTAGAAAAATGTATTTAAAATTATAATAAATGCATTTGAGTAGGTTGCCACCTTTATTTACAATTACTAATTCACCAGCTGCAAACATTTTACTCTACATGCATTAAAGTCTTAGTCTGACAATCTTAAGGGGTTTTTTTACAGTTAAATAAAACTCAAATAAACCAGTATTAAACGGTCTATGATTGATTCTCCTTGCATTTCCTGAACCCACCTGTTGTCCTCTTTTGCGTTTTCCCAGCAACTGTTCTTCCGCCTTCTGCCTAAATCAGTCAGTGATGCACCAAAATTGTGGTTTTCCTATAAAAGTGACTGCTAAACCTTTGGTTCCTGATCACCTCTATGAGCTTCAGACTGTTATGGAGTGCATGCATGTGAGGTGCCAGTGAACATCATTTAGACACAGCATCGAACAGTAAACGGTTTCTACTGGTCAGACACTTCAGCCATCTGAAGAGAAACACCCCATGTACCAACCCCTGTTGTGCTCACAGCACATATTCTCTTTAAAATAGATTCAAATTTAAATCCATCTGATAAAGTTCGTTTATTTATAAGGCACTCTCTTTGTGTGTGTTCCATTTTATACAGTAACTAAACAATGGAAATCATACTATTTAGGGCTAATTATATGAGAATGACAGCCGTTTTAATGTTGGCAAGTTATCTGGAGGCAGTTCATTACTGTTATATTTAATACTTTTTGTCAAGAAAACTTGTTTTCGTGTCAAGATCATAAGAAACAAGTTGTGTTTGAGAAAACAAGAATTAATATTGTATGGTCTCTTTGGGCTTCCGTATGTTATTATTTCTGTTTAGAGCTTGTGGTACCGTACTGCTCGCTGACGCTGTTCTTGTTTCGCAAATAGTCAAATTTGGGTCAAATCTGAAGTTAGCAAATTACATTTACTAAAAATTTAGTTTTAGATCAAGTATAGTCATTTGCATCTGTTCAATTTAAAGGAATAGTTCACCCAAAAAAAAAAAAATGCCCTCACTCACAGGCCATCCAAGATAAGTTTTTCTTTTCATGGAAACAGATTTGGTGAAATGTATCATTACATCACCTGCTCACCAATGGATCCTCTGCATCGAATGGGTGCCGTCAGAATGAGTCCAAACAGCTGATAACAGCCAATTTGTTTCTTACAAAACACGCAGCTTTTCACTTCACAAGATGTTAACTGATGGACTGGAGTGGTGTGGATTATTGTGATGTTTTTATCAACAGTCTGGACTCTCATTCTGACGGCACCCATTCACTGCAGAGCATCCATTGGTGAGCAAGTGATGCAATGCTACATTTCTCCAAATAAGTACAAGAAAAACTCATCTACATCTTGGAGGGCCTGAAGGTGAATGAAGTTTCAGCAAATATTTTTTTTTGGGTAACTATTCAAGCAGCAATGTAACAAAACATTTGTAAGTCATATCAAACAACGATGTATCAAAAGTTTCTTAAAAAGCAACCTAGTCCATCCAAAACATATACGACAGATTTAGAAGAGCCTTTGAGACTGTGTGCAAAATGTCAAACGTCATGGAATGTTCAATATAGACACATTTAAGCAAAATCAGCTCTACTACAGAACAGCAGTGACCGTGTTGTGACAAAATTCATCATTGAAAGCGATGCCACTGAAACACGGAAAGAAAACTAGACAGTCATGACACTAACCTTGTTTTATTTTGTGCTCTATGGCTCTTCACTTGCCAGAAATGATGGCAACCCTGCACCAGTAAAGCGTCAGTGCAAAGCAAAGAACACAGAAACATTGTTTGCCTCCCATATGTCGAAGACGTGAAAAGACGAGAGCAGAAAAATTGACCGAGACACTGAACGCCCTTGAGGAGTTCTATAGGAAACCCCTCGTATTTTACCTGTGATACCGCTGGTAGTGCAGCTCCGTCTTCCTGTTTTCCTTCAGGTCCTTCTGTTACTGGCACAGCCGGATTGGCCACAAAACTTTTCCACTCTAAAGATCAAATTAAAAAATAATTTTAAAAACAAATGTCACATACATTCATGTCAAGTCCTATGAAAAAGCATTATTAAAGAATGTACTAGAAGCTAAAGAAAGGTCATATGTGGGTGTTTACCTGGTTTGAGTGTTTCAGCGTCAAGCATGCCTCCTTCCTGAAGACTTCGAATATCATTGGGTTTCACTTTATCCCATGGGATATACGTGACGCCCCGCTCCATGTCCCAAAACTTCTTCAAGTCCATCTTTATGCCCTTATTCAACGCCCATGCGATCTGATCAAGGACAACAAGTCAAACAACTGCCACACAGATTCAAAACAAGCTACTACACATGCAAACATGAGCTCTGGGACGATCAGTAAAGTAACACAATTAATCCAACAGCAAACACAACACATTATGACTATTTAAAGTGTGGATTTGTGTCTAACTAGAAACCATCTGGAAGTGTATTCACAGAAATAAAATGATAAAGGCAATGATTATCAAAATTAACTTCTTACTTACCCATTAAATTAATTACGTGAGAAGAGTAATGCAAGAGACGTAAAACTAGCACAGCTATGTAGTAAATTGAGTTGTAAGGCAACGGTCAATTATACAAATGTATTCATCCACAGAATGCTATGACTTATCATTCATTAAGCATTGTCTCCTAATCTAGCTTTCTAAAAAAAAACTGGCACTGTATACTATCAATATTGTTGGTTCTGTAACAAATTGCTTGTGTTCTTGGTTAGAATAAAAGCATATGCTAAATGTATTCAAGAGAGTCATATAATAAGCAATAATACCTCTAGACCAAGAATCTTAACCCAAAAACGTTGCTGACAGGAAGAAAAGGTTGGTTACGGTACCTTAATAGTTTTCTGGTTGACTTTAACAACCCCTCTGCTGAGTTTATTCAGGGCCGTGTTGGCATCTTGTCTGTGCACCATGACAATGTAGGCACAACCTCTGGGAGGAATCATCTACACAGAAACATTTAATAAAAACTTAAACTTTAGTGCAAGAGTAAATACACGCTAAAAAAATATAATAAAAGCCACCAATGCAAGGGAAATCTACTAAATAGATCATCCTGGTTTCACATTTGACTCTATTCCTGTGAGCCAAATTTCCATTGCGGAAAAGATGATAATTTTACCAGCAGGCTCCGTTCCGAAATCTAATGAGCAGCCTTGCTGTCTACATAGGCAGCTGCATCCTATATAAAATTGAACTACGTAAGAGACCTATCTGAGCCTCATATACAACATTTAAAAATAATATGTGGATAAGTGAACAAAACCATATTGAAATACACATAAAAATGCAATGCATTTTGGGACTGCCTTCTCTACATGTGATGCCTATAATGCTTTATGAACTACCACTCAAAGGTTTGGGGTCAGTAAGATTTTTTTGTTTTTAAAAGAAGTCTCTTATGCTCACCAACTGCATTTATTTGATACATACAGTAAAACCAGTAATATTGTAAAATATTATTACAGTTAAAAATAACTTTTCTAATTGAATACATTTCCAAATGTAATTTATTCCTGTGACCAAAGCTGAATTTTCAGCATCATTACTCCAGTCTTCAGTATCACATGATCTTCAGAAATCATTCTAATATGCAGATTTGCTGCTCAAGAAACATTTATCATTACTAATGTTTTATAACAGTTGTGATGCTTTATATATTTTTAGAAACTGTGATACACTCTCTTTCAGGACTCTTTGATGAATAGAAAGTTCAAAAGACATTTATTTACTTTTGTAACAATATCAATTACTTTACTGTTACTTCATCAATTTAATGCATCCTTTCTGAATAAATAAAAATATTGTGTTGACCCCAAACTTTTGAACAGTGATGTGCATTGATATGATTGATCTATACACACATTGATGGACTCGATCTGTCCAAACTCCTCCATCAGACTCATGATGTCCTGCTGCTGAGTCTTTTTGTCCAGCTGTCCGATCCATAGTGTAGTACTACACACTAAAACAAACAAACAAAAACACTCCTGAACAGCAAATCAGTACAATAACACAATAAGATGACATCTAACATTTAGTAGTGCTAAAAAAAAAAAAAGGACAGCTACACATTCGATTTCATGCTTACAAAAATTGTGGTAAGACTTCACTGTAGTAAAACACAATTATAAGATAAGGTGGTGTTCTCACCACTGAGAGTTTCCTTCTTGACAGGCGGAAGTCCTTTCTGTCGCCGCTCTCGCTCTTTCTCCCTGTCTCTCCTCTCCTCAGATCGCGCCTGTGGGGAACGGCCTCGACGCTCTCTGGATCGGGAGCGTGTGCGGTGATACCTCGACCGTTCTCGGCGGGAACGTGAACCGGACCGTGATCTTCGTGAGCGTGATGACGATCGTCTCCGTGGAGACCTTGGAAAGACACACCATTCAAAAATTAAGAGAAATTAATCTTTTTAAGAGACTTTAAGTTCAAGACCCTTCGTGAAACACACCTTGATCTCGTCCGTCTGCTGGGTCTTCGATCTCTTCCATCATGCACTGAGCGTTCGGTCTCAGCTGAAGCCTGAAATGATGAGTCAAAGACATACTGTAAGCGATTTTAGCCTAACTGATGTGAGAAAGTCAGAAAGTTCAGAACGAGTCATTTTAGCATTTACACATGGCCCTATGAATTTCCACGATGCGGAAAACACAGATAATAACAGAATACAGTCATAATTTAATTTACTGTATAACACGGAATGTCACAGAATTTGACAAATGTTTAATGAATAAAGTATGGCTGTACACCTTATCAAACAGCAATAATTACATTTTAAAAGGTTAATTAAAATGTGAATGTTTTATGGCTTCATTTGATTACCACCAGTTTTGATGATAAATTTGTATTAAATCATAAATACAGAAACACTGAAACAGACAACACAGAACTTCTGAAAAAAAAATAAAAATAAAATCATCAAATTGTTAAAGTTTCATGAATTCAATTGACCAGACATGCTTATTGATTATTAAACAATTAAAGCAGAATCCTGACATTTAAATAAGAAAAAAAAACACTCATAAATGTGTTAATTCTTTTATAAATTGTTGTTAAACTGTAAACGTTTTATGAGTTTAATTGGATATCCTTTTTGATTACTAAAATGAAACCATTAAAAACAGAACCCAAAAAACATTTAAGTTTCAATAAGAGTTCTACTTGGACTGGTGAGGACATTTTGACTTATGAGTAGAGCCCGACCAATATGGTTTTTTTGGGGGGCCGATACCGATATTAGGGAGTAAAAAAAGATCGATATATCGCCTGATATTCTTTGTGTATATTATAGTACAGTACCAGTCAAAAGTTTGGACACTTTCCCATTCGTGTCTCCAAACATTTGACTGGTACTATATATAGAATACAGTATATACTAGGGATGCACCGATATGAAAATTTTGGCCGATACCGATAACCGATTATTCTTTATTTTTGAAAGCCGATAACCGATATGTTGGCCGATAAATCTATATCCAAATTGTTATATAGATGTGCATTGATATGATTGATCTATACACACATTGATGGACTCGATCTGTCCAAACTCCTCCATCAGACTCATGATGTCCTGCTGCTGAGTCTTTTTGTCCAGCTGTCCGATCCATAGTGTAGTACTACACACTAAAACAAACAAACAAAAACACTCCTGAACAGCAAATCAGTACAATAACACAATAAGATGACATCTAACATTTAGTAGTGCTAAAAAAAAAAAAAGGACAGCTACACATTCGATTTCATGCTTACAAAAATTGTGGTAAGACTTCACTGTAGTAAAACACAATTATAAGATAAGGTGGTGTTCTCACCACTGAGAGTTTCCTTCTTGACAGGCGGAAGTCCTTTCTGTCGCCGCTCTCGCTCTTTCTCCCTGTCTCTCCTCTCCTCAGATCGCGCCTGTGGGGAACGGCCTCGACGCTCTCTGGATCGGGAGCGTGTGCGGTGATACCTCGACCGTTCTCGGCGGGAACGTGAACCGGACCGTGATCTTCGTGAGCGTGATGACGATCGTCTCCGTGGAGACCTTGGAAAGACACACCATTCAAAAATTAAGAGAAATTAATCTTTTTAAGAGACTTTAAGTTCAAGACCCTTCGTGAAACACACCTTGATCTCGTCCGTCTGCTGGGTCTTCGATCTCTTCCATCATGCACTGAGCGTTCAGTCTCAGCTGAAGCCTGAAATGATGAGTCAAAGACATACTGTAAGCGATTTTAGCCTAACTGATGTGAGTCAGAAAGTTCAGAACGAGTCATTTTAGCATTTACACATGGCCTTATGAATTTCCACAATGTGGAAAACACAGATAATAACAGAATACAGTCATAAAAATTGAATTTACTGTATAACACGGAATGTCACAGAATTTGACAAATGTTTAATGAATAAAGTATGGCTGTACCTTATCAAATAGCAATAATTAAATTTTAAAAGTAAAAAAGTAAAATTTAAATTAAAATGTGAATGTTTTATGGCTTCATTTGATTACCACCAGTTTTGATAATAAATTTGTATTAAATCATAAATGCAGAAACACTGAAACAGACAACATCGAACTTCTGAAAAAATAAAAAAAAATAAAAAAATGTCGATAAATTATCAAATTGTTATAGTTTCATGAATTCAATTGACCAGACATGCTTATTGATTATTAAACCATTAAAGCGGAATCCTGACATTTAAATAAGAAAAAAAAAAACACTCATAAATTTGTTAATTTTTTTATAAATTGTTGTTAAACTGTAAACGTTATGAGTTTAATTGGATATCCTTTTTGATTACTAAAATGAAACCATTAAAAACAGAACCCCAAAAAAATTAAAAATTTCATTTAATTTTCAATAAGAGTTCTACTAGGACTGGTGGGGACATTTTGACTTATGAGTAGAGCCCGACCAATATGTTTTTTTTGGGGGGCCGATACCGATATTAGGGAGTAAAAAAAGATCGATATATCGCCCGATATTCTTTGTGTATATTATAGTACAGTACCAGTCAAAAGTTTGGACACTTTCCCATTCGTGTGTCCAAACATTTGACTGGTACTATATATAGAATACACTATATACATAAAAAGAATATATATATATATATATATATATATATATATATATATATAAAAAAAAAAACAAACACATTTTTTTTTTACATTTTTTGCAATGATCACTCAACAAATCACTCAAACACTTGACAAAAATATGTAATGGAGGAGGGCATTTGACAATTTAACAAACTTCATTATCCAAAATGAGTCTGATTTGCGCTACTGTCTTCACACAGACAAAACTTACTAGAGAAGTGTGAAATAATATACCTCTGTAAATAAATACAATTTAAGTTCACGTCTCGCGCACTTTAATGCCCTTTGAATGTAAGGTGTACATTCCCTTGGAACTGGAATCATGGCAGAATATCATGTGAAGTCCACTTCGCAGGGCACTTACGGTCGAATAAGACAACGCGTGAATGCTGCTGCCTGAACAAGTCCTTACTGAAGTGAAAGTGTTAGCTGGTATCACTGATATGTAATGGAGGAGGGCATTTGACAATTTAACAAACTTCATTATCCAAAATGAGTCGGATTTGTCGCTACTGTCTTCACACAGACAAAACTTATTAGAGAAGTGTGAAATAATACACCTCTGTAAATAAATACAATTTAAGTTCACGTCTTGCGCACTTTAATGCCCTTTGAATGTAACGTGTACATTCCCTTGGAACTGGAATCATGGCAGAATATCATGTGAAGTCCACTTCGCAGGTCACTTACGGTCGAATAAGACCACGCTTGAATGCTGCTGCCTGAACAAGAGACCTCCTTACTGATGTGAAAGTGTAAGCTAGTGTCACTATCTCGCAAACGTGGCGGCGGATCTTCTCTAAATTCGGGGGATCCCTTTAGCTGGAGGAGCCCTCTCGAACGCCACCCTCCACGCGTCGGTAGCCCCCTGGGATCGCCAGATCGGTCGACGCCCAACCACGAATTTAACCGCCCATAACTCCCAGACCCCGGGGGCTATCGATGGGAGGGGTGGTCTCTAGGGCTGTCAAAATAGCTGAAAAACTAAATTCTATATTCAAATTTAAAATGCATAATGTCAGTTAGGGTGAAGAAAAGCTTTTGGCTTCTCTTCTGAGGCCACAAGAGGGCGCATCGAGCTAAATATTATTAATGCATGTTTATTCAGTAAGATAACATGACTATCTGTGAAAAAAATGCATAATGCTTAAAATAATGTTTATAAGCCATATATAATTAAGTTGCTTAAACAACTATAAACAAAACAAGCTAGTGTCACTATCTCGTGAACGTGGCGGCGGATCTTCACTAAATTCGGGGGATCCCTTTAGCTGGAGGAGCCCTCTCGAACGCCACCCTCCAAGCGTCGGTAGCCCCCTGGGATCGCCAGATCGGTCGACGCCCAACCACGAATTTAACCGCCCATAACTCCCAGACCCCCGGGGGCTATCGATGGGAGGGGTGGTCTCTAGGGCTGTCAAAATAGCTGAAAAACTAAATTCGAATTTTGTACTTGAATATTATCAAAATTCGAATTATATTCGAATTTAAACATTAATTTTACATGGCTTTTTAAACATGCGGCTCTTTTGTGCGAGAGCAACGGTGATAGATGTCCCTCTAGAAAATGCGTGAAATCTGCGTTCTGTGTAAACGGCTTGGTTTCAGTTTTGACGTAAACAAGATCTTCTCCGTTCTCTTTTTCCACAATATTTTTAATGAACAACGCAGCAGCGCCGCATCTAGTGGCTTCAACTGGATAGGTTAACAAAAACATTATAATGCAACGACACTTACATTGTCATCGCATCTTGTTGCATTTGAATGTGGATTTTTATTTTAAATCCGACGAATACTCGAAATTCAAAAAAAATTGACAGCCCCAGTGGTCTCATTCGAAAGGGGGCCTCGAGGTGTACACTAGGGCTGCACAATTAATCTAATTTCTAATCGCAATTACAGTTATGGATGCCACAATTACGTAATCATTCAAAGTGGCAATTAATCATTTAAAGTCCACTTATGTTATTCTGTGTGCTTAAGATGCATTTTTTTCTTTCTACATGTTATCTTAAGGGTTTTTCCCATTATTTGAATTTTAGTATAACATTATAATACCATTCATATTTTTACTTTGTTATAATTTAAAGTTAAAAACATGAGATGCAGTGGGATGGGGAAAAAACCCGCCATAAAGTCTCGATATATGTTTTTTTTTTTAATTAAACCTACATTAATTTTACATGGCTTTTTAAACATGCGGCTCTTTTGTGCGAGATGCGAGTGCAACGGTGATAGATGTCCCTCTAGAAAATGTGCGAAATCTGCATTCTGTGTAAACGGCTTGTTTCAGTTTTGACGTAAACAAGATCTTCTCCGTTCTCTTTTTCCGCAATATTTTTAATGAACAATGCAGCAGCGCCGCATCTAGTGGCTTCAACTGGATAGGCTAACAAAAACATTATAATGCAACGACACTTACATTGTCATCGCATCTCGTTGCATTCGAATGTGGATTTTTATTTTAAAGCCGACGAATACTCGAAATTAAAAAAAAAATTTGACAGCCCCAGTGGTCTCATTCAAAAGGGGGCCTCGAGGTGTACACTAAGGCTGCACAATTAATCTAATTTCTAATCGCAATTACAGTTATGGATGCCACAATTACGTAATCATTCAAAGTGGCAATTAATCATTCAAAGTCCACTTATGTTATTCTGCGTGCTCTGAAGGGATTCCTCGAATGTGGTGGGATCCAACCTTTTTAGGCCCAAGGTCCCTGACCTCGGCCATTACGAAAGACAAGATCTACCGATTGAAGAACTGATAGATAAAGACATCCCAGATTGTACTTCAAACTTGAGGCCTTTTACTTAGTATTTTAATTAGTGATGCGCCGATCATAGCGGATTCAGAATTTCTTTCTTTTTTTTTTTTAAACTAGCAAATTAGCTGATTCAGATTTTTAAGCAAATTTATTTATTGGCTATTTGCTTTATAACAAACAAACTGGCTTTAAACAAAAATATCTAGCCATTTGAAATTAGAGGCAACCACTGCATTTTAATCACGATCTGCACGGGCAGTTGTTTTTGATTTCAATTAGATTAATTTCAGGATTTAAAACAAAAACAGAATGGTCTGACTTTAGGTGTTATTTATTTGCTACATAAAACATCTGCACGAAACAAAAACAGCAGGTTTGAATGAGACGCACTCTCTGACAGGAGTTGGCGCTTATGAACAGAGTTGCCAGGTTTTCGCAATAAAACTAGTCCAATCGCGTTTCGAGGGGGATTCCCCTGTAAAAATCGCATTCCGGGGGTAAAATACACGTTTTTCGGCGGGGATCTTCCAGTAAAATTCACATTCCAGGGGCTAAATATCACATTATTGGGGTCTCTTCAACCCGTGGACATGAACAACAACCCACGGCAACAGGGTTAAAGTAGCCGAATTCCTGCGGACTTGGCAACACTGCATATGAACCGACCACAATATAGCGTTTCCTTGGTTAGCGCTGTAAACAAGGCAGAGCTGCGCTTTATATGGAGAAGAAAATGCCATTGCCATCGAAACTTTTCTCAAGACAGTTCCCTTCAGTGATACATTAATATAACCCCAGAAATGTAATGCATTTTTGTACTTATTTTACTGTTATTTTCGGGATCTACTGGGACAGTGATAAATATATTTCATCACGATCGACGGGTTGGCAACCACTGCTTTAAAGCGTTTCATCCAGGTCGCCAGTAGCAAACAATGGAGCGCTGGACAAACTACGTAATTACACCATTTACAAGCATTTTATCTGCATTAAAAAATTATAAAAAATTAATATCGGTGGCATATCGGCTACATATTCGCCGATACCGATATATCTGCAACATGCTCATATCGGCCGATAAAATCGGCGCAACTATATATCGGTCGGGCTCTACTTATGAGATATGTTAATATCTGGTGAAGTTATAGAGATGATGCCCCATACCTGCTGTAGCTGCTGGATTGTACTGGGTTGTATGATGCTCTCATCAAAGACTTGAGGAGTGTTATCTGGTATCTGGGTCTGAACTATCACTGGGAACTCATGAGGTGCCACCTGACCCTGGGATGCCACTTGACTCTGCGACACCATCTGACCCTGCATCTGCGTCTGTACAGGAAGAAACCATTTGATTGCATACATTATTTTTGTCATGTCCTTATTCTTTAAAGCTCAGTAGGTCAGAGTAAATACCTGGCTAACAATTTGGCTTAGAAGATGAGCTTGCAGGGCTTGCTGTAATTCTGGGGGAAGGTTTCTGTAAAGAATGACAATATTAAATCAATATCTGCAAAAAAACAAAAGGATATTTCACCATATGTGAACAGAAAGAAATGAGTTTATGTCCTACATGGTAATGGGAGCAGCAGGAGCTGGTTCAGTCTTTTCCTCCACAGGTTCAGGGTCATCATCATAATCAAATCGATCCAGCAGAGACTGAGTCAAACCAGAAACACAATGTTACAGAATTAATAGCTCCAAACCATGCGTTCACTCTGTGGTTTCTATATTGCATAAGAACAGCGAGATAGGCTGTTATCTTCCAGATTCTACTCTATTCATTCCCTAACCAGACATTAGTGTTGTCAAAAGTACCGACGTCGTGACTATACCAGCATCTATCAGCGGATCCGTTTATGAGCAGATATAATAAGGATTCTCTGATAGATGCGGCTTTCAAACGCTCCCATGTGTATCTGTGGAAGTGATGATCATTGTAGCCAATCACAGACATATCTGTTGAGCGCGTGAACACAATGGCCAATCAGAGCTGTTTAAGAAGCCGTTCAACAGCACTCAAAATGCTAGTGGGAAATGCTGATATTTTTTAAATTTCAGTACCGACGTCAGTACTTTTGACAACACTACCAAACATATCAGCATGCATGGGTATTGTCAAAATGATTGTAAAGCATCAAATTGACTGACTGCTTACCTTAGCTAATGATGTTTTCTGCTCAGGGGGCGGGGCAGTGGGCTGAGGAAGCCCCGCCCCTCCGGCCTGCTGGAGAGTTTGGAGCAGCTGCTGTAAATGAAACACGCATAGCATAGTTTCTTTTAAAATTTTTACATGATTTGTCATTTTTTATTATAATTTTTTTGTATATTTCTGTACAGCTTTAATTTATTTGTTTCAGTTTTAGATCTAGAAATTGTAATACTTCAACTTAAATGAAAATTAGAATGTTGCCTTTGCAATTAACTGTATTAAGTTTTTTAGCTTATATTTCTATTTTATTTTAATTTCAAAAAGATTACACTGCACGAGTGAAATTTCAGCCTGCTAATGCAAATTGTAGTACATTTCATGAACACTATGGAGGAAGTCAAGCATCTCTAACAGCTAGACGAGAAAAAAAAAACTGTGCACTCTATAGCAGCGGTTCTCAATCCCAGTCCTCGTCTACCCCCGCTCTGCATGTTTTGCACGTCTCTCTTTGTTAACACACCTGATTCAGATCATTTCATTAGAAGTGAGCTCCGTGCATGAACTGTGTTCCGATTGACATGCTCCCTACACAGTGTCCATTGCTCCCTATTCCCTCAGCAGGGGAAATCCATTGAAGTTTACTTCACTTCGGAATATTCATTTACAGATTTGCACTGCGCGGCTGCCTGCAGCGTCTTCACACACAAACGAAACTTACTAGAGAAGCGTGAAGTGGGACATAATATACCTCCGTAAATAAATACAATTTAAATTCACGTCTCGCACACTTAAATAACCTTTGTATGGAACATATACGCTCCCTTCAAACAGGAATCATGGAGGAATATCCAGTAATGTCCACTTCGCAGGGCACTTAGTCAAATATAACAAACGTATGACGCAATAAGAGAAACACACAAAATGTGCAGAGCGGGGGTACGCAAGGACTGGAAATGAGAACTGCTGCTCTATAGGATGCATTCTGAAACAGTTTTTACTCAAACTGCTAGTAAATTTCACCAATAATTACAACAACAATCCTTTGAATTAAAAATGACATTTTGAAGTAGTAAGACTGAAACAGTATTTTCTACAACATACTCCAATAATCTTTGTTTTATTTACAATTTCTAAAAAGTCATATTTTTTTTTTACAGTGTGCCTGGTTGCTCCTTTGCACTCCTACAAAAACTTATGCTCATTAATCTGTAACAGGAATAATCAAGTCTACTTCAGCGCAACCATTTTTCACAAAGCAAGCTGTATTTGAGTGCAGTGGGTGTCGTTTTACCTCGACGCCCCCCGTGCCCTGGAGGAGCTGGGCGACTGCAGCAAGGGACACTGGGTTCTGAAGGGTGGGCGGGGCCGCTGCCGCTGCAACAGCTGGTGCCGGTGCCGGCTCTGGCACTGCCATTGGCACGGCTGGAGGCGCTACAAAAAAAGATGAAAACTGCAGTTTAACAGGCTGTTAGTTTGAATAGGATACGAGTTACAGTCAAGTATATGCATTATACACAAGTTTAGGCTCAGTACGATTTTTTTTTTTTCAAAAATTCAGCAAAAAATGCATTATATTGATCAAATTTGACAGTAAAGACATTTATAATGTTACAAAAGATTTCTATTTCAAATATGCTGTTCTTTTGAACTTTCTATTCAAAGAATCCTAAAAACTAAAATAGCAGCACAGCGGTTTTCAACATTGATAAGTGACACTGAAGACTGGAGTAATAATGCTGAATATTCAACTCTTCAGCACAGGAATAAATTACATTTTAAAATATATTACAGCACAAAACAGTTATTTTGAATTATATAAATATTTCACAATATTACTGTTTTTACAGTATTTTTGATCAGATAAATGCAGCCTTGGAGAGAACTCCTCCCAACCCCAAACTGTTGAACGGTAGTGTAAATGTAAAGACTTTGACTCAAAAGGTCTGATACAAAACCTAGAGAGTAACGCATAATGACATAAACCAACATTGAATAATTTTTCTTATTTACCGGCAGCTGGGATTCCATTCTCCACAACAGATAGTACAGAGTCTGTGGCCATGTCTAACAGCGGCTGAATGATGTCCATGCTGAACACGTCATTCTTCTGCCACAGATTCAACACGCGCAATATCTTCCCCTACATTTCAACAAACAAAACCCACCAATAAAATCCACCAGCACAGAAACATTTCAACGTAATTTCAACTCTAAATTCCGGAGGCAATTATTCAGTACCTTATCGTCAGCGGGGCACTGGAAAAGGTTCTGAAAAGTAAGTGTGAAGTTTTTCAAAAACCTCGGACCGAACACATCTTTGTCTGTGCCGAACTGATGGCGGGACTGTCGGATAATTGAGTCGACCACATACAGACCAGCAACCTTTAGGTCTGGTTTACACTGATGGAAAAAAGAAACACAGTCAGCCTTTACCTTCCCATAACAACGATCATCAGTACAAGAACGTCAGTATATTGTTTATTACATACCCTCTTGATGAACTTCTCCACGATTTGAACAACGTGCTTGTAAAGCTAACAAAGCAAATCATAAAAATTCAGTCTATAAACTGTCAATAAACAACTAGCAGCATCAACTATCAAAATCAATAAACAGATAACACACGAAAACTGGGTTTAAATGAGAATTTTAATTCATTTCTCTTCTACCATATAAAATGAATGGGTGCCGTCAGAATGAGAGTCCAAAGAGCTGATAAAAACATCACAATAATCCACACCAGTCCAGTCCACCAATTAACATCTTGTGAAGTGAAAAGCTGCACGTTTGTAAGAAACAAATCCATCATAAAGACTTTAAACCGTCACTTCTGGCCAAAAAACAAGACCATAATCCATAATCCCTCCAGTGAAAAAGTCCATCCCCTGTTGTCCTCTCACATCAAAGCCTACTGACGTATTTGTTTTAGACTGTTTTCACTTGTAAACGGTGCTTGATCTGTGCAGATTTCTCTCCTAATTCAGATGAGACGTTTTTGCCACTGGAGAAAGCAACATTATAGATAGAGGTCTTGTATTTTACCCGGAAAACAATGATTTTGTGTTAAAAACGACTTGATGGATTTGTTTCTTACAAACACAAGACATTAATTAATGGATTGGAGTGGTGTGGGATTACTTGTGGATTATTTTTATCAGCTGTTTGGACTCTCATTCTGACGGCACCCATTCACTGCAGAGCATCCATGAGGCTGAGCTAATTTTCAGCAAATTTTAATTTTCCAAAATTAAAACACCATTCCTTTAAGCATTATCAGTATATGTTTGTGCATGTAAAACACATCTTTCAAACGGCAAACTCAAAATAATCTGAACATAAATCAAATCCTTCTTCAAATAACTCTTTATAATTGATCAAAATCCTTTCCCTTTCCTATTTCTGTCCTGACTTACCTTGATAGCTTTGATTCCTGCTTTGGTTACAGACATCATTTTGGCTCGAGAGATTGGGGGAGTCATGTCCATCATGGACATCATCTAAAGGCAGGAAGCAGGATGAAGAAATGTCCAATTTATCCTCATAATAATCAATAATTATTGATCATAATGATCAATCAAACTACGGTGTAAGAAAGAACTAAGATCAAAACGACATGCAAAACTTTCAGCTCAGTTACTGCGAACTCAATATAGATAGTCAAAATTAATAAAACCTACATTTAACCTCATAACAAACGGCAGATCTCAGTTTAGAGATCAATAACAGCTTTAAACCACGTGATTAAATCATCAATAGAGTTGATCAGGTCTCTGAACCTGTAGGGGGCGCCACTGCAACTCTCTCTATATTCACTTCTATTACAACAAACAGGTCAAAACTCGATTAAATCACTTAAAACATTGTATATCTCTTATATAACCTCTCAATATACCATAAAGCTGCTGTGAGCACTCGAGCTAATTTATTATTAGGCGTACTTTGTCAGCACGAATAAGCGGAAGGTCACTAAACAAACTAACTTAATTCATACTCATATCACATCTGTTGAACCATATATCGGGTTTTATTTGAGTTTAGAACATTAAACTGCAAAAATCTATGACATTGATCCATCAGAGAACAACAAACACACACATAACACGGATTGTTTTGGTGGCATGGCGCGCTCGGCTAACGATAAGGGGGTAAACGGCTAATAAAACGCGAATTCTCACCTCCCCGTTAAAGGCGTTCACCGCTTCCATGTCCATGAGCGTTATTAACTCAGTATGTTGTTGGATATATTCTCCCGGACCCGAATAAACATGTGTGAACTGGATTTTCGCGACGAGGCCGCATGAGATTGACGCTCAGAAACTCAACAACACAACCTTCCGCGAACGTTGAGGCGTGATGATCGCGCGGGGAGAGAGCGCCGCGCCGCGGAGCGGAGGACAACTGCAGCGACACTCGTAATGTGCTTTAAAGGGATAGTTCACCCAAAAATGAAAATTTGATGTTTATCTGCTTACCCCCAGGGCATCCAAGATGTAGGTGACTTTGTTTCTTCAGTAGAACACATATGATGATTTTTAACTCCAGCTGTTGCAGACCAACTGGACTGGAGTGTAAAGCATTAACGGGAAAGAGGGAGAGAAAAAAAATTCCATAAATAAATAAACCAACAGGTAGTATTATTATGAAATTTAAATTCTGCTTTCTAATCCTGTTATCTTCAGATAACTAAGAATTTAGAAGTCTCTTCTGCTCATCATGCCTGCATTTATTTGATCAGAAATACAGAAAAACAGCGATATTGTGAAATATTATTGCAATTTAAAATAATGTTTTTCTATTTTAATATACTTTAAAATATAATTTATTTCTGTGATCAAAGCTGAATTTTCAGCATCATTACTCCAGTCTTCAGTGTCACATGATCCTTCAGAAATCATTCTAATATGCTGATTTATTATCAATATTGGAAACAGTTTTGCTGCTTAATATATATTTTTTAACCTGTGATACTTTTTCAGGATTATTTGATGAATAAATTAAAAACGAACAGCATTTATTTAAAATAGAAATCTTTTGTAACAATATATACTACCGTTCAAATGTTTGGGAACAGTATTTTTCTCTTTCTTTCTTTCTTTTCTTCTTTCTTTTCTTTTTTTTACAAACTTTATCAGTTTAACACATCCTTGCTGAATAAAAGCATTTCTTGTGATAGTAAAGTGATAATAAATACTTATATTGTTGGAAAATATTTCTATTTTAAATAAATGCTGTTCTTTTTAACTCTATTCATCAAATAATCCTGAAAAAAGTATCACAGTTTCCAAAAAAATATTAAGCAGCAAAACCGTTTCCAGCACTGATAATAAAGCAGCATATTAGAATGATTTCTGAAGATCATGTGAAACTGAAGACTGGAGTAATGATCACAGAAATAAATTATATTTTAAAATATATTAAAATAGAAAACCGTTATTTTAAATGGTAATAATATTTTACAATATTACTGTTTTTTCTGCATTTGTGGTCAAATAAATGCAGCCCATGATGAACAGAAGAGACTTCTTTAAAACACGTAAAAAATCTTACTGATCCCAAAGTGTATGTATGTATTTATTTATTTATTTAAACTCAGAAATATGGCAGTATCCCCCTCCCGAATATTTTTGTAAATAAATAAATATATAAATAAATATCCCAAGAAATGTCCGTCATATAAAATAAACACGAATTCAAATTTTTAAAGAATCTCTTCCAAATTTAAGGGGATAAGTATGCCATGTCAACGTAAATATTCAAGTTTCCGGTTGGGACTTTTATTTTGTAAATATAGGACTTTTCCGTGCTGTTGAATGTGGGCTTTTATTTTGAAATGTAGTGTTCCGGTGATCAGCTGCGATCATGCCGACAGTCAGCGTGAAGAGAGATCTGCTCTTTGAAGCTCTGGGACAAAAATACAGTAAGTGTTTCACATTTATGTGTTTTACAGGCTGAGTGCGTTCACTGTGTTCTCTGTGTGTGTGTGTGTGTGTGTGTGTGTGTGTGTGTGTGTGTGTGTGTGTG